TATATACCCCGACTGACAGCCATCTGATATTCTTAATGGTATATTTTTTAAGATATTATTTATTTGAGGGGGGGAGAGTGAGAGAGCACCAGCAGGTGGGGGAGAGGGAGAAGCAGACTCCCCGCCGAGCAAGGAACCCAACCAGAGCTTGATCCCAGGACCCTGAGATCACCACCTGAGCCAAAGGCAGACGCTCAACCGACGGAGCCAGCCAGGCACCCCAGCCGTCTGATATTCTTGGCCCATCTACATATATTTCATTTTTATCTGCGCCGACCACATTTCTATGATGCACAGATGGTCCACACAATCTATGAAGTGTGGCTATTTTAGAATCAGCGGCCATGGGCTCTGCGTCCACTGACATTCCCTTCCTGCTCACAGACAGCAAACCAAGACTTGAAGGTTCATTTTCCTTCAGTGTAACGGAGGCCTCCATCATAAAGGGACGGCCTGAAGCTTCCTGAAGTCTCTCCCACACTTTCTACCAGGATTTTCATTACCATTAGACAGCCGGAAACCATCGAGAAACAAGAGTTGGAACCCGGTCCTCGCTCCAAAATGCAGGGCCTCTAGGGATGGGGATGAACCCTCACAGCCACTACCTCCAAAAGGAAGGACCTGGAAGGCTTACTCGCCCTCTCTCAGTGAACTTGGTGCTGGCCGTGGCTCTTGCAGAGCTGACTTGTCATTACCACAGGACTGTGTTTACAGAACACATGAGAAGGGCACATATTTGCTTTTCCCTTAATTCTTGGGCCTCCAGCCCCCTAATCGTTCCTCTTTTTACAAATGAGGAAACTGAGGATCAGGGCGTACCTGAACTGCTCCTAAGCACGCAGTTTGAATTCAACCCCATTTAACCTAGAATTCTGATCCTCACCGCCCCCCCTCCTGACACTGCCCTGAAACCACCTCCCATTCCCACCAGGAAGAAGCCAATTTTACAAATGCCCATCTAGGACAAAACTGGGTGAGGAGCTTTTAAGGCAGCAGTGTTCACACTGCAAGCTGGAAAAAAAACTCAGTGGCTCCTGACCAGCAGCTTCTGAAAATGAACAGAGAGCAATATATCTGACTGTACCACATGCAAGAATAGACATTGGTCCCTGAAACTTGTTTCAGCTGAATATTAATATTTATACATGGGTGTTTCTTGGTATAAGCATGCAGTCCAGAAAAGTTAGAAAGCCAATGATTTAAAGATTAAGTCCCTCTAGATCAGAGATTTAGATCTGAGATTTAATTTCCCAGAGTCAAAAAGAAATGCTGGAAAGGAATGGGTTGAGGAAGGTACTCATGGAAAAGGCATCACTTGAGCAAAGACCCCTAGCCTTCTGTGGGAGACACACATAACCACCAGTAGCAGCAAAGAACCCAGGCTAACAACAAAATATAAAATTGAAAGCCTTGACATTGACTATTTTAAATTACATCCCCTCATATTCCCCTCCCCAAGTTCAGTTTCCTTTCTTGATTTTCCAAGAGCAATTCCTATCATTCATCTTGGATATATATTCCAGTTTAGATCCTAATAAATTTTACGATGTGTATGTGTCCATAAGCAATGCACAGCATTGTTTGAGTGATTTTAAGTTACATCCAGCTACTAGGAGGTCCCCGTCCTTCCCCAGTGTTTCACACATTGTTTTTTATTTTTTTTTAAAGATTTTATTTATTTATTTGAGAGAGAGAGAATGAGAGATAGAGAGCACGAGAAGGAAGAGGGTCAGAGGGAGAAGCAGACTCCCCGCTGAGCAGGGAGCCTGATGCGGGACTCGATCCTGGGACTCCAGGATCATGACCTGAGCTGAAGGCAGTCGCTTAACCAACTGAGCCACCCAGGCGCCCACACATTGTTTTTTAGATGTATCCATATTAGTATACACACATTTATGTAGCATGCTGCACAGTATCCCTCCACAGGGATAGTCCATAAGCGGTTTCCAATATTCTGTCATTATAAGCAACAATGTTATGAACATTCTTGAACATGCCTCCTCCGTTCATAAGGGAATCTGCTCTAGTTACAATATAGCTGGAGGGAGTGTTACTGAGTTGCCATATACATATACCTTCCACTTTACTAGTTATTGCCAACCTCATGTGCCAGGAAAACTACTACTAATAGTTCAGTGTGTGTCCTTGAGACTTTATATACCTGTACCTACATATATATACATGAGTTTACAGAGTATGAATATAGGTAAATCTATCTCGTGCTTTATAATGGGTTGCAGAGGACCGTTTTCTGCATGAATTGACCAGTGCCCAACTGACGGACATTAAGGGCTATGCCCCCATCACAGTATTTCAAAGAATTTTTTTTGTGCATAAATAAGCAGCACACTGGTTCTAGTACACATGCAAAACAGATTGGGACTCCCAGACCCACCTCTTCATTTGTACAAAGGAGAACACACTACGTCCCAGAGAGCTAGGGTGAGGAGCTGGCCCAAGGACCCCAGCAAGGGAGAAATGAAGGGGCTGAGGGCTGGGGTTCCTACACTTGGGGCACTTGCTCTGCTTAAGGGAATAAAGCATTTCAGTACACATTATTCCTTTTACACACCATCCTCAGTTACCCTCTAGGATTTGACATTATAAAGAGGTACTCTGTGTATCACCAAAGTCATGTAAAATCTCCCTGTGTCTGTGTGCAAAGGAGGTCAAGCAAAAATTCTTACCCCGGACCCTTCTGCCCCAGAAGGCTGCAGGAATCAGCCTCTGGCTTCCACCTCAGTCCAGGCAACTCACATTCACAGAGGCTAAATGCTCCTTGTGGCTCCACCCTGGGACGCAGACAGGATCCCAGGACCCCAGCCTGAGGTCACAGAAGAAGACTCAATGACCACATAGCACAGTAATCAGTGCAAACTATAAGAGGCAAAGGGAGGTGTCTGGGGCTCCAATCTCAGGAAAGCAGTGAGAATGTTAAAAGCTGGCCCCATACCTAGTTCTCAACAAATGTATTCACCTACTGAAGCCAGACATCCAGCCCCACATTTCAAACACTTGCAGCTGCGCTCAGACCATGTGCTCTGGTGCTGAGTGCACAGGCTCACGCGTGCACGCACACACATAATGGATTGGGTGCAGTCTTGATGCCTGACCTTTGGCATATATGCGTTTGAATCCTGACTCAGCCTCTCATTAGCTGTGTGACCTTAGGCAAGAATTCGACCATCCAAGCTTCAAATTCCTCCTCTTAAAAAAAAATTTTTTTTTTAATGTAGATAAAATTGGTCCTTCCCTTATAGGGTTTTATGAAAAGTAAATGAGTTACTGCACATAGGTGCTCAGAAAAGCTCTCAGACCATAAAAATGTAGTAGATACTTGGGGTACTTGCCTGGTGGTGGTGCCTGAAATAAAACAATGTCCCTGGCCTTAAGGAGCTAGTAAATTTATGAGAATGTCAAATAAAAACAATAGAAGCGGGTGTGGCCGCCAGTCAGAGGGAGTGGTAGGTACAGTAAACAGTGCCAATGTGGAGGGGATATGAGGGGTACCCGGGGATCAGAGGCGGCCGCTCACCTCAGGGAACTCATTGCAGGGCTGAGACACACACTCAGAGCAATCCTGAACCAGGCCACGCGCTCGGTGCTGGGTCCAGGCTGAGTCCCAAGGCAAACATAATTATTTTCCAAATTGTAGGAAGGTCCAAAGTCTCGTTAGACAAACCAGGTCCCCAGAGGCTCTCAGGCAGGTTAGCCTCAAGGAGCCAGATGTGATGGAACCTCTGAAGGCATAGGGCGCATGAACAAGCCCTCGCCCTGTGCCCTCCCCAGCAGTACCTTGGTGCTCTCTCCTCCCTCGGGTCGGGGATCTGTGCTTGCTGCCTCCTTCCCCTGCCTGGGCGGCTGCCCCTCGGACTCTTGCCCCACCATCCACATGCGGGTGGCTGTCACACACTGCTTGCCCCTCCCGGCCCCCACAGGTACCTCGCGTCTACCAGGGAACAGTTACTGCGAGGGTTAAATGACACAAGGATGTGAATGTGCTGACACAACTGCATTCCGTCCCTTCTCGGAGGATGCCACCACCCCTCAGCAGCAGGGCTCAACATCCTAGCAACCCCTCTGACTCCTGTCCCTGCCCAGCACATCCCACCGGGCCTCGCCCTGTCTCTACCAGCCGCCCCATCACGCCGTCCCACAGGGCAGACGCTGCTGATGTGCGTTACCCAGACAGTTCTGCCCACACCCCTTGAAAACTCTGTTACTCCCCTGCGCTTACTGAAGACAGACCCACTGTTTTAGGTGTGCGTGCAAGGCCCTCTAGCCCAACCTACCTTCCCACTTCCATCTCCACCACAACCCTTTCCTCTGGTTTGATTAAATCACCTGCTGGGTGGTGCATAGTGAAATACAGGGTCTGTATCCAAACAAGGGGATGAAACAAAGCGTGATAGGTTCTTGAGCACACCCTCGGAGCCTTTAATCCCTAGACATGCATTGTGGCTCTTCAAGTTCTCCCAAGCGTATGTGGACTTCAAGTACTCTTTTTTTTTTTCCACAGAGTTCCAGAAACACAGAGGACAATCTGTACCATGCTGTTTCTCGAGCAAGGCTGTGGAATGTGCCACGTAGAATGACTGCCCGGCCTCTGGCTGTGGCCATCTCAAACACGGTTGTTCTTCATCACCATGACTGTGTGCAATCTCTGTGGAACTGTGAGCTCCCAAACTCAGCCGATAAGCCTGCCTCAGCACAGGGACGGATAACAAATGGCCGGCAGCAATGCCTTGGTAGGGTTGACAAACACTTGCTTCGACCTTGATTGCCATGGCTGCCTGCCTCCCAGTTTTCCTGTCTACCCCTCCCCGTCGACTTCATTAAATTTCCTGTATGCTTCACCTAGCCAGGGCTGGTTTCTGGGGCGTGAAACCAAAGAACCTTTGCTGATACATCGTTCTTACAGTCCCTGAACAAAAAGCCACCTAAATCTCCCCCAGGCAATGGGGCACCCTGAGCCGCCACCTCCGCCCCAGGGTCAGCACCTGTCCCATCAGGAGTAGACCTCACAAACGTGGGCAGCATTTTCACTGAAGCAGTGGGGTGGGTGGTAGCTCCAAGCCCTTTCTCCATCTCCTTGCGGAACCGCTTAGAGATCTCCAGAAGGTTCTCATCAGAAAGACGCATGTGGTAGAGATACTGGTCAACCTGCAAAGGGGTGGGGGGAAAACAAGAGTTAGAGAGCAGCAGGGTTAAGTCAGTGTGGTACGCATCTACATCATGGAACATCCCTCGGCCCTTCAAAAGAATAAAACCTGTTATGTACAGAAGGTTATTATTAAGGACCATGTAACTGGAATCTATTTGACAAGATATCTTTAAAAAAAAAAAAAAGAACTAAACTGCAAGATAAAATGAGAAAAATAGGTTTAACTTTATTTCTGAAGAGTGGTAAAGACGAGGGGAAAGGCACATTAGGGAAGAGGAAGAGTTCTTTCCAGAAAGGTTGAGTTTAAGGGTCTCTGACAACATTCTGGGAACTGGGGTTCATTACTGGCCCTCCTTGTCCCCCACACGCCGTGAGGCCAGTTGTGGCAATCCTGTTACCCCCCCCCCGGGCCAAGCAGCCAGCACCTCTTGCCTCACTTACACAATCCCCAATTCTGCCTTTACCTCTTCCATCCATTTTCCATCCCCAGCCAGACTCCAACCATTCCCTGCTTAAAGAAACCTTTCAGCGGCTTCCCATTAGAACCAAACCTGAAATCCTTCCAAGGCCCCACAGGATCTGGCCTCTCCCCACTGGACACCTCTGGACTCCCTCGCGCAAACCCTACCCTTGGTTCAGTCCTTCCCTGCCTTGGAACCCATACATGGGCCCTACAGCCTTTATCCCGTCTGCCCATCTCTTCAGCCCTCTCCAGACCTCTCAGCCTCCTCTTGAAACAGTCAGGCCTCCCGTTATTCCAAGAACTCAGACTTTTCCCTTCCCAACACCACCCACGATATGTATCTCTTAGTGTCTAAATTATAACAAGCACCGAGGGCAAGAAGAACCGTGTGTACCTGTTCACCCCTGCATCCCTGGCACGTGCTGCCACAGAAGAGAGCTTCTACATAAACCGCATGCAAGCTCGCCTCTCGAGGCAGAGCCAGCTCTCCTTAGTTAGTTCACTGACCTTGTTTCCAACATCAACTTACACGAACTTTCCCCAGATTCACCACCAAAGAAGCACCAGGAGTACCTCTCACACAGTTTCCTTCTTGGCTGTGGATATTCCCAGTTTTCTCCTCTCAGGAAGAGGCCTGACAGAAATCCCTCCCAGGAGGCACACGAGTTTCCACAACGCCCCCATTCTCGGCAGCGCTGTCCAGGACAGGTGACACTGCCGGCCACGGAAGGGTAGGGGTAGACACAGAGTCAGGAACGTCGGGCCAGGCCCCAGCTACCCCTTCAAGGGGTGAGGGTCATGGTCCTCGAAGCTGCGGGACTTCAAGCAGCCCTGCTCTTCCCAGCTCTGCAACGGCCGGGTCCCCAGGGGCAAAGCCTGGCTGATGACCACTGCCCCTGCTATTCCTGTGGGAAACAAGGAAATTCCTGCCTGCCCCCTGCCCTTGCTCAACTTTGACAAAGAAGCACATGTTATTTAATAATTAGAGTTTCCAGACAAATGTGCTCGTTAGTAGTATAGCCTGTTATATTTTCTGTCCCTTTTTTGACAGGGCTTCTTAAACTTTTTTTTTTTTTTAACCAGAGGAAGGGCACAAGGTGCTTAATCCTTTAAGAAAAGAACAAACCCAGTTTGGTCAACAGAGACGGTCCCCTCACTCACGTCTTCCTCTATTCCACGCTGTATCCTAACGCCCTTTGGGATCTAGGGCACATCCTCCTCTTTAGGCCTCTTTCTGCCCCTGTAGAATAAGGAGATTGGCCCTCCTTAGCTCATTTCAAATATCCTGCTCAGGACTCACCTTTGATCATTCTTCTAGATTCCCCAAAGGTCATAGATCGGAGTCTGGAGTAAAATGCTGAAAACAGCTGCAAAGGAGGCGAAGGACAGTCCCTGGTGAGTCAGCCCACCCAACTCCACAACTGCCATGTGGTTCAGTCACAACGCTGAGACGCGACCCTCGCACGCCTAGCGTGGGAAAGAACAGGGTGGACATGGAGAAGGGTAAAGGCCTTGGGCCACTCCTGTCCCGCCCCGCCAACAGAGGGACCCGGTTTGTCATGCGGGGTTTCAAATTTGCAGAAATGACGATTTCCCAGAACTAGTCTGTGGCCAGCATTTACTAAAAATAAATCAGGAAGAACCCAATCCATTCTGTTTCCTGACCTCAGGCCGCGGGCAGCTCACCCGCCTTGAGCGCATCATCTGCCCCAGCCTCTCAGGGCTGTGTGGACACCAGCCCCCACCACGAGCTGGGTCTCCTAGAATACTGGAGAGCCAGAGGGCTCCTGAGGACGCCTGCCCTCCCTCACAATGAGGTTTGTGGCTCCCCAGGGGGCAAAAGGGTCCAGCTTCAGCCCAACAGCAGACAAGGCCCCTCCCTATTGGTGGGAGGCCAATCTCTGGCGACCCTGAGCCCAGGGCAACTTTAATCACCCCAGAAGCCTCTAGGCTCCTGATCCAGTGACACCCGGGTTGGCCCAAGAACACTGCCTCATGGCTTATGATGCTAACATACAAAATCCAGGGCCCCCAGACCATAGACTAAGGCCGGGCCATGTCCAAGAACAGCCTGAGATGCCCTGGTGGGCAACAGTAAAACAGTAAACCCTTACGTGGCACGGACACTGTTCTCAAGGTCTTACATCCATTAATTCATTGAATCCTCACAACAATCCTATGAGGCAGGGAGTGTTCTCTCCATTCTACTGAGAGGGGGAAGGCGACATGCCCAGACAGAGATGCAAAGGACCAAGCTGGGACTGGACTGGATTGGGCAGCAGTCCTGGCTCATCCACTCTGCTAGATAAATGCCCCTCTTCTGCTCGACACCAGGCCAAATGGCACCGCAGTGAATTCAGGCTGGCTATGCCCACTAAAAAGCCATCTTCTATTCCAGTCATCCCCCAATGTCGACACCAAGGGCCAAGAGCAGAGTGTGTGGCCCTTGGGGCTTGTCTGGCAGATCAGAGGGCGGCAGGGGCAGCAGACACGTCTCTGAACGTTGTCATGAGTTCGACACATGATCAAGTTGGAGCTCCCATATTACTACTTTCCCAAAGAGAGATGTCGAATGCCAGAAGCCTCCTGGCCACCCACTCCCTGGCCCCCGCCCCCCGCCCCCCGCCACCACCACCACCACCACCACCACCACGGATGGCTCTGGGTGTTGTTACAAAGGGGGCCAGGAGAACAGCACCTGTACTGCATTATTAACAGGACGCCTGGCCACTTCTTGGACTGTGAGGTCATGTACACCAAGGAGCAAAGGTGCATTGGCCACAATTCCACGGCAGCCATTCCTAGTTCAACTCTGAAGCTTAAGCTTCAACAGGCTGGTTAGAATTCCAGTCGATACGTCTCATCCTTAACCCGGAGAGACTCTAACAAGTACACAGCCTTATTTGAAGTCAAGTCACCTTTTACCCAATAGAGTACAATCATCTTTCAGTGTTCAGTGATAGATGAAAACAATCATGGTGATTGTTACAGTAGCTAAATATTTCTTACCTGCCAGACGCCATCCTATGACTTTACTGACTTCACCTCCATTGTCCTTTTGTAAAACTTCTAGATCCCTGCTTTATAAGCCACTCGATGGGGAGGGGCAGAGCTGGGATTCCAACTGGGAGCTTGGGACCACCAGCTTCCCTTCACCTGTCCCATGGGCCCTCCTGGTGTGGGTGGGCACTCTCTGCCCTATGGTTTCTTGGATGAATACTCAGGGCCTTGATTTCCTCTCTAACACATGAGACTAAGAGAAAGGATATGGGACAGCTTTGAAAAATGCAACCAGAGCACCTTGGCCCAAACTTCCCTTCTTTCACAGTATGATGTGGCCACCCTTGAGTTTATTAGGGAAGGACTGTTTAATCACCTAATGTCATGGCTTCCTAAACACACCGTGGGGCCCACACCGCCTTGGCTGGTGCTGCTGTGTTGGGTGAAGGGTGGCCAAGGGATGCAGAAGCCAGAAACAAGAAGCAGCCTCTGTACAAAGACGATTTTCCTAGACTGGGAAGGAAGTGAATGCACTTCACAGAATCCTGCCAACTTTCACCCACGGTGCAGCCAGAAGGAGGGAGCACCAGACCCAAAGTCATGGGACAAAGTCATTTAAGAGATATCAAATGTAGGCAAGGCAGTACGACTGCAACTAATAAATGCCCTTAAAAATGCCTTTGGAACATCACGTTCAAAATCCCACTGCAGATAGCATTCAAGTATGTCCAGTTTGCCTCTCTCACCCCAACAGTCCACCAGCCCTAGGTTTGAATGCTTCTAACCATGACACGCTCAGTACTCTTTTTTTTTAAGATTTTATTTATTTATTTGAGAGTGAGAGAGAGCATGAGAGGGGAGAGGGTCAGAGGGAGAAGCAGACTCCCCACTGAGCGCGGAGCCCGCTGTGGGACTCGATCCCGGGACTCCAGGATCATGACCTGAGCTGAAGGCAGTTGCTTAACCAACTGAGCCACCCAGGCGCCCACACTCAGTACTCTTAACATTGGTCAGCTCTAGTTGTTAGAAAATTTGTCCTCAATCTGAGATAAATCTACTTTCTGGTAACTTCCATCTAGTCTCCATTCTGCCATTTGGGATAAGTGTTCCCAAACTTGGCTGCACATCAGCATGACTGACATGAGGAGTTTTTTAAAAAAAAAACATGAAGAATCCCAAAGAGCCATTCCAGACTGACCAACTTGATACCTTCAGCCCTGGGTGCTCAAACACCTTCCCCTCTCCCGGACCTGGTATCCCCCATGCCAATAAATGTGATAATGGTGGGCTAGGCTCTGGTCAACATTGCCTAAGGTCATTTTTACCACTTTTCTACCTGGAGTCTCTGAAAGTCAGCAGTTAAGACATTAGGCTAAGTGTGAAATAATCCTGTGTTGATCCTGGGGGCTGGGAATTGAAAAGATTAAACCCTGTCCTTGTTGGAAACATTTAGGTCACTGGAAACTATCAAAGCAGGATCATTCAGGCCAACCCTCATTTCACAGCTAGTGATAGTCCAGTGCAGCCCGTTGCACC